TTGGATGTGTTGCCAATGCAAAAGAAGTTGGAAGGAATTTAAGGAAGCTTGTGACCGATCAAGAAAAACTTTTACCTTGGATCAGAACCAAGAACGAAAGCATATAAATTGTATGGTCAAATGAGCCGCAAAATTATTGTGTCAGGAGATGTAGTTTTTGACAAAGATGCAAATTGGGATGAGAAACATCTAATTGATTCTACCTCAACCCATAAAACTGGAATATTTTGGGTTCACTGGTCAGGTATTGTTGATACCGGTGAAGGGTCGGTAACAAGCGGGACAAACCCTAGTAGTGGTGAACAAACAGAATGAAGAAGTGGCGAAAGTGAAAAGTAAGTAGAACAACCAAAAAATAAGGATTAGGAACACGATGATCATGAAGACCGTGAAGCTCCTCCCTTACGAAGGTAAAGTCGGACCATTCATGCACCACACATATATGATGACTATGAAAGAAATTTTATAGTCAAGAACATACATCTACTTCTATCTTTAAATGATGATGAACCTTCAAGCTATAATGAAGCTTGAAGTGATCCAAACTGGGTCAAAGTAATGAGGGAAGAAATTGCTTCCATCGAAAAGAACTGTACTTGGAAGTTAGTCTCAAAAGCCATTAATTCAATCGTAATAGGGCTAAAATGGGTATTTAAGGTCAAAAAAAGATGTGAATGGTTCAACTAGTAAATATAAAGCGAGACTCATCGCAAAAGGCTATTTACAACAACCAAGTATAAATTTTGATGACGTGTTTACACATGTTGCTCATTTTGAAACCATATGAATTCTTATTGCTCTTGCAACATCGAAAGAGTGGGAGTTGCACCACCTAGATGTAAAATCTGCTTTCTTACATGCTGGGTTACAAGAAGAAGTGTTCATTCAACAACCAGAAGGATTTGTGAAGAAGGGAAGAGAAGACTCATCATACAAATTACAAAAGGCGTTATATGGTTTGCGACAAGCACCATGCACATGGGACATCAAGCTAGATGGAATTCTTAAAGGAATGAAATTTCAAAGATGTGTGCAAACACAAGTTGTATATTGAAGATGTATTGGATCATATTTAATTTTGATCGGAGTTTATGTGGATAATCTGGTTGTTATAGGAACAAGCACAATCATCAAATCCAAATTCAAGCAAGCAATGGACACAAACTTTGATATGACTGATCTAGGTGTGCTAATATATTATCTTGGTATTGAAGTGTATCAACAAAATGATGACATCATTATCATATAAGAAAGCTATGCGCAGAAGGTACTCAAAGATGCAGGAATGCATGAGTGCAATCCTAATGTGTTTTGAGCATAACAACATCCTCTGTGTTCATGCAACCCTAATTGCTTTGGATCTATGTTTTTCACTAATTGAACATGCAAAACAAATTCCAAAGCAATAATCATAGATCTAGCATATATAATTCGAAATTCATATATAAGGAGGGTTAAGAATATTACCTTGCTTGTTATGTAGCAATAAAAAGAATTCATTGATTGGTCTTGACTCTTGAAAGCTTAATGCCATAAATGTAGCACCTCTAATGGCTCACAAACACTTGAAACAAGAGGATAAGAGGAGATAGGAGGGAATATGCAGAAGATCGGCTAGGGTTTCTATGCTCTAAGCATTTTTTGAAAACCCTATGTGAAGGGGTCTTAAAATAGTTGAGGCTGCTAGGGTTTTCTGGTGGAAACCCTAATTTTCTGCTTAGGCCTTAAGCAATCCATGGACCTCCTATTCTAGAAGCCTTGGACGAATTCTATAGGGCCTCCCTATAGTTTCACCCACTCCATTCTAAAAGAGTCCAATAGCCCAATTTTGCAACTATCAATGATTTGCAAAAAGTCCTCGTTCTTTTAATTAGTCTCTTTAATACCAAAATTAATTCTAAATTAATTTCTGGTTAAATACTAATTAAATAATATGATTTCTAATTAATATATTATTCTCATAGTATATTTATATGCTTAGACACCTAATCCAACAGTCTCCCACTTGGATAAGTCTAATAAATATAATTGCAAGTACGACTTCAGAATCTGATCAACAATCGTAACTCTCAAAATTCGTTGTCGAACTATGACCTAGTCAGTTGTGTGTCCTTAAGATAAGGGATCATATAATCCTCTGTTCTGCAAGATATCATGTGGACATAGACATGGAATAAAATCATTCTCATTGTCTAATAGTTTGTTTCCCAATTTCTGATTTGTATGACAAGGAACTTAATTGAACACATCAATTTAGTCCTGACGGGCCCGACACATAAGTCAACAAAAAATCATCGAGGGGCCCAAGATATCACTTTTACCCCTTGGGATAAAAGGAATAAATAAACTTTGACTTATATGCTTGTACTATTTACTCATCAAATCATGCACAACAGTTCGTTTTATAACTTCAAGTTACTAATGCGTTTATGCATTATCAATGCACAACCAACTCGTAAACAACAACTCATATATCTCGGTTTAAAGATTATATGATATTATCGTCTCATAGTTACTTGTGATAAATTCCATGAAATAATGACAGTGGGTTTAGTCCAATACTCAAATCCCCATTTTAGGAGTACTCACGAACGTTGCAGCAAACCATTGTTATGTCTAAACACTTAGACAATCTACAATCCAATTCATGACAATGTTGATTCATTACTTACTTCCAAAGTATGATCGACTGTGGATAATTCGAACAATCCAATTAGTCTAGAAGTAAAACATGCAAAGTGAAACACAAGATAAATAATTGACAAAAGATGGTAAACAATTACTTATAAATAAATCTCCAATAATTAATCATCAAATGTCATTTACATTTATATTGTTACAAGTTTCTAAATATCTATCTAATCACTAAAACTAATAGTTCCCTTTAAACCAATGTTCCTCGCATGTTGAATGCGTTTAATCCTACTTAGACCCTTTCTGAGGGGATCTGCAGGATTCTCTTCGGACGATACCCTCTTGAAGACGAGGAGTCCTTCTTCTACCCAATGTATGATAAAATGATATTTCCTATCGATATGTCTAGATCTACCATTATCCCTTGGTTCCTTGGTTAATGCAGCTGCTCCTTCATTATCATAGAAAATTTCCATAGGCTCCTTTACGGCTGGCACAACTCTAAGGTCTCCAGTGAAGTTCTTCAACCATATAGTTTCCTTTGACGCTTCACTCGCAAGTATATACTCTGACTCACATGTTGAATCATCCACGGTCTCCTGCTTGGAACTTTTCCAAGTTATTGCTCCTCCATTGAGTGTAAACACCCAACCAGACTGAGAATGGAAGTTGACTCAGTCTGTCTGAAAACCAACGTCACTATATCTAGTAACTCTCAAGTAATCATTGCCACAAAGTACAAGGACCCAATCCTTAGTTCTTCGGATATACTTAAGAATGTTCTTAACCGCTATCCAATGAGCTTTACCCGGATTCCTTTGATATCGACTGACCATGCTCAAAGAAAAAGCCACATCAGGACGAGTATGTGTCATAGTATACATGATCAATCCAACGGAGGAAGCATATGGAATCCGACTCATTTCTGCTATCTCGACATTGGTACTCGGACTTTGAGTCTCACTCAACTTGGTGTTGCTCTGGATAGGTAATTCTCCTTTCTTGGAATTCTCCATGCTAAAACGCTTCGACACATTATCCAAGTAAGTACTTTGACTAAGTCCAGTTAGTCTTCTACTCCTATATCTCAAGATCCTTATCCCCAGAATATAAGCAGTCTCTCTTAGATCCTTCATAGAGAAACACTTTCCAAGCCAAGACTTAACTCCCTGCAAGATTGGAACGTTGTTTCCTATGAGCAGTGTGTCATCAACATATAATAATAGAAAGCTAACTATACACATGACTCATCGAAGCAAAGATTCCATCTGCGAGAAGCTTGCTTCAATCCATAGATTGATTTCGCAAGCTTACACACTCTATTAGGGTACTCAGGATCTACAAAACCCTTTGGCTGACTCATGTAAACATCTTCAACCAACTTTTCATTAAGGAAAGTGGTTTTGACATCCATATGCCAAATTGCATAATCATGAAATGAAGCTATGACTAGCATAACCCTAATAGATTTGATCTTAGCCACCGATACTACTAGAAAAAAAGCCTTTAATGACACGCAAACAATGACACACAATGAAGGATAGAGGAAAAGCATTTTGTGCGCGCCCTAAACTTAGTGTCCAAAAAAAACACGGAGGGCGCATATGATACAATGTGTGTCGTGTGCGCACGTCGCTTTATATATATATATATATATATATATATTTTCATAAACACGCGTTTTAGAAGCTCGCGGGGAAATAATTTTTTTTTCATAAACACGGGTTTTAGAAGCTCGCGGGGAAATAAAATTCCAAAAGTTTGAAAAGCCGCCATGCTCTCCTCTACCTTCTTTCAATCGTTCTTCTCTCTCTCTCTCTCAATCAAATACCAAAAATTGACTATTGTTGGAACTAGGATTCCGGTTCTTAGTGAAATCGATGGTTTTTTGGTGACCAGGCCATGAAATTGATCAAAGGGGTACAATTGTTGGAACCACGACTATTGTTGGAACTAGGGTTTCAGTTCATAAACCCTCAATCTACTTCTCTCGATCTTCATTTCCTCAAGTATTTTCTCAGCCTCTCAATCAATAGAAGAGAGTTGTATCACGACCGCAAATTTAGAGTGATTTCCATATCAAGTAGAACCATAGCTCCATTACACTCAAGGTCTCGAAACTCCATGGTTAATCACCATCAACATTCTGCTTCTTTATTTGTTCCAGAGGTTCGTCTTCCTTTATTACGAGTTTTATCACCTTTTTAAGCGAACTCGATTAGCCCTCGATACCTAATGTTATCTTTTGCGTTGTTGCTTCTGCTCCGTTCTTCTTGAAACCTCCCCACACTCTCATGTCAAATTCGACACTTTTGTCAAAACATAATTTATGATATCAAGTTGGAAATCAACAGAAATGGCTATGAATGCCGGTTGGGTTGGATGATTCTCTAGAGGACGAGAGAGATTTGGATCAGATGATGGCAGATCGTAGTGCTGCAGAGATTGGGCTTGATACCATGGAGGGTGTTGCGTCAAGGGAAAAGCTCCCCCATCATCACAATGACCAAGGTCGGTTAGGGTTTCCAGTTTTTTTTGCTATTTTATTTCCATACCTTCACCATCACCAATGTTACTTTGTGCTTCATCTGATGTACAATTACCTTCTCCTTGTTATGGTGGCAATACTCCTATGGGTTGCTCTGATTCTCCATGGGATAATTTTCCCCTTCTCCTGTTCCAATTAGGGCAATAATGAGAGTGTGATGTTAGAGATGGAGTACAACTCTGAGAGTATAAAGGTTGTTGCAATACATATTTGCATCAATTATTCCATTAGACTCTCTGTACCGATGTCCTCAAAATAGGGAGCTTAGACATACTCTCAAGTGTCAACATTAAAACAATAGATTGAATTCTTCATTTAATGTAGAAAATTTTGAAAGTTGTAATAAAACTTTATAATGATGTAATAAGGTATCATTAGTATTATAGCTGCAACAAAGTCTACAGCTGGTGTGGAATTTCAGAATGATTAGGTTTCATCTCAGGAATCATGGAGCTTAACTTTATTTCAGGAATCATGTACATCCATCTTGGGTCAAATCCGAAATACTAAGCTATAAACAGGTTTCCACATCAATGGTACAACACATGCTTGATTACGTTTTGGAAAATTCAAGTCCATTAACTGGTACCCCACATGGAAAAAAGAAAAACAAAGTAACAACCCATTTGAAACCTGATGATGCGGGCCATACCCGATGCAACATTTTGTTACTAAAGAGCGACATAGACAATAGGTCTGATCTTTAATTCTTGGGTATCTCTTATTTTTTTTTCTTCTGACTCAAATCAAGAAAGAAATGACATCCCCACAGAGTTGCTAACTATTCCAGAAATACGGTCACATCTGTGATCTGTTACTGCAGAGTTGCTAACTATTTAAGCTAATCACATTTTTTTTGAACTTTAAACTGTTAAATCTTTATATAAAAAAATGTTACAGATATGAATCTTAATAGTTTAATAAAGAATTGGGATATCAAGTGGAGAAGTGGGTTCTCAAGTTACACAATTGCTCCTGATTACTGGCTTTTTATGTGGTATTTATCATGGGGTGGACCCAACTTTTTGATGAGATTGCTGATGGATCATGGAATATAATTAGTGGTGCAGACCATAAGTTTTTTGGCCAATGACATGATATCCTTTTCATAGTTAAAATTAGATGAGTTGTACATAGGATTAAGTTATCCTATTAATCTTTTTTGCTTCTAAATGTTGTTCTGTCTTCATGATCCTTGATTTTCATAATTACAATTAGAGAGCAATATGAAATGCTGGATATTACTTGTCAAACTTCTTTCCGCTGTTCATTTTTTTAATGGTAGTTGTAAACGTATGTTTCATTTTGTCTTGTATAGTTGATTCTTTGGAGATAAAGAAAGGTAGATGATTAGCAGATATATATATATATATATATATATATATATATATATATATATATATATATATATATATAAGTATTTATAATGTATAGAATGTTTTTGTGTATACATCATACAGATATTCTGGACATAATCCAGAAATCTAGAAAGAACAGTTGCGTATGACTTTTCCGGGTTTGGGGCAATATTATATTGAACTAATGGAAACTTCATCATGCAGGTGTTCTTCTTGGGGCATGCTTATATGGAGAAAAAAGTGCATCAAGTTTAGCTGATGGGATCAAGAATCAGGTGGATGGTAGTTTCTACTTTATAATTTCACATAATTATGAGCCATAAAGAAAATAGAAGGTCCTGGTACATTTTATTTATTTATTTTGAAATAGGGGGAGGGAAATGAAAAGATCCCTAAAGATGTTCAATCTTCTTCTTCTTCTTCACCATCTGGACACCATGAAAGGAAACCACTAAGGCCTCTGTCTCCTTGGATCACTGATTATTGCTTGCTGCACCTTTAGGTATTAGAAGCAACTACTTTGATTGGTAAGTGCTTGTTTAATTATTAAAAAAAAGTTCTTTTTGTGTGTTTTCATGATTATTGCCTTTTCTTACTTATTTAACATTTGTAGGTGTGGGGGTGTTATGGGAAAATACGTTGTAGGTGAACTGAAGCCACCTTCTCTTGGTAAGTGGAAAAGTTTTTTTTTATGCAACTTTTGAAAGAAGGATAATAACGATTAACACAGTAGTAAAATTTTGTGTTTAGTAATGGCTTCTACATATGGATCTGGAAAGCATCCATAGTTAATGCCATCTACACCAAGGTAAACTGGTTAGTAATCGCCTGTAAACTAACCTAATTTATATATATGGACTTGGTGTAGAATCATACATTATTGATATATTTTTATTTTTCAGTGGATTAATCATGTTGAAGATGTTATCAGACATTCGACAATGTTGCTGAGCATCCATTTCACTTTACACACACATATATTTTATATATATTACACATTCTCTCCCACTAGCCCCAATCATCCTGAGCTCAAATCTTTATGGGTATTTGTTACCAAATAAGGAAAGAATGGATAGAGTAAGAACACCAAAGTTGCGTAGATACATAGCAATACTGTGTGTCATTGTGTTTCTAAATATATAATGTTCAGAGGAGGTAGACATAACCATCATTGAAAGTGTCACGTCTAAAGGAGCTGGTATGTAGTATGTACTAGTTGATTCATTAGATTAAACCTATGTTTCATATCATTATTTCTAATAATAGAAAGTCATAAGTTTAGAAAGATTTGACGAGTGTAATTGCTTGAGGTGCAGTTTGTTTAGATGGAAGCCCACCTGCTTTCCAGCTTGATAGAGGGTTTGGAGATGGTGTCAATAATTGGTTGGTTCATATACAGGTCTATCTTCCTTAATTTGTTAAGTAATCATGACTTTCTATTTTTATTTTAATAAGAAAACGTTCTTAACTTAGAAAGAACCTATACGTATTGCTTTTCATGAAGCCCAAATACTCGGTGGTCAATCCAATCTCAATTTGTGCATTCACTATGATAAGAGAAACATATTTTTATTTGCATAAAGTATACATGTGTTACGTCTATACAGTGTAGTCATACAATATAGCAATGGATTTACATCATGCAAAGCACCAGAGCATATATACATGGGTTTAGGCCATAATATGTTTCATCTTATCGAGAACTTCTTGATTTCCCTAATTTGTTGCTGATGCAGTTGAATATCCCACCATCCATTGTTAATTTATCCAATCTTTCATGGTTGGATCTAAGTGATAACAAGCTTCAGGGACCCATTCCCGTGTCTAATGAAACAACCCCTGGTATGGTCTTGACAGGTTAAAGAATGCAAATTTTTGCCGATCAAGGTGGTGATTCTCATTGGATTTACATGGGGCAAAGTAATTATTGCTCAAATTTTTTATGTTATGTTCTATAATTCTTATTCTCACCTGAAATTGTATCATAGGGGCCATAGTAAGGTCGTGTTAGATGCATAACATTTTCAATACCTCACTATTTTGATATTCAATCTTCCATTCAAGCAGATGATTCATTGTACTTTCACTAGAAAATGACTGTGTTGCCCTTGTGTCTTTTATCTTTTGTTTAGCTGAGAAGTTTAATTTGTATATGATTCCTTTGTTTTGTTTGTAAGGTGGTTTTGATGGTAACTCCATGAAGGTAGCTGAGTTATTGTTCAACAATGGGTTCAAAAGCTTCAGAGTATATATCCATTTGCCAAATCCAAAATCCTCATTGTAAAAGTCAACACAACTACTGGATAAGGGTTGCCATTTTCGTATTTACCCTGGGCGAAACAAGTTGCAGAGTAAATTTCATATGCAGCACCCTTACGCATACAACACTTTATCCAGACAAATATTATCACCATTCAAGACTTAATTGGAAAAAAGAAAGAAACAACCCTTAGTCTACTTGCAGTTATGTTTTCTGTTCAAAAATTCTGAGAAAAATGACTACTTTTTGAACAATGATTTATTTACTAGTGTTTGGCTGTTGATGGTTCTGAATGGGATAACCAACTTAAGATGCAACATTAGAAATGTCCATCATCGATTCAGATACTAAATAGAATACAATGTCTCAAATTGGGAATAGATTCGGTTAGTTCCACTTCCCCCAATCAATTGTCATTTGTCCTCTTTGTGAAAAAAAAAATCTATGTTTGATTAATGATGATGTTTCCTCACTTTCTTCTTACAGTCATTACTAGATGCGGATAAAGTTAATGCTGCACATGTATCACCATGTGACATTGTTGCTGTCATTCGTCCTGCTACTTATAAGTCTGGGATTGCGTGTGAAGAATTAGATCAAAAATATGTGATGAAAGATAACTTTGAGATGTCATTATCAGTTACATTTTCTGAAAATGGAAATGAAACCAATATCTATTTAGGACGTGTAACGCCTTCATCATGAAAGGACCTGCATGGTTTGTATATATTTCAACCAAAATGCAATTCCTATCCTCTGTTTCAAAAAGCTGGAATTTATACATTCACATTTTCCATTGTGAATAACATTGAATTGATTTAATGTATATTTAATCACATGGCTTTACAATCATATGATTTTGTTAATGATTAGCATTTACATATTTCTATCATCAGAGCGATTCAAGATGTGAGAAACATGTGGTGAAGGTCAAAGTTGAAGCGTCGTGTGAGGTCCACAAATGGGCACTTGCCAAGAAGCTTCCTGATTATAATGTCATGTAAGAAAAATATAATTTATGTGTGCACTTTTATAAAATCTAATACCTCATATATATATATATATATATATATATATATATATATATATATATATGTGTGTGTGTGTGTGTGTGTTTCATAGGTAGTTACCATTTCAACTTATGACTTTTGACTTCAAGGGTGTTGATATTCTCATAGGTTCATACTTCTAACATTTATATTTATATTTGTTATGCAGCATGAAAGTATTGGTTTAATCAAGTCAATTTCTTAATATATTAAAAGAATTTATGGTGTACTATAATAGATGACAAGGCTGCTGGACATTCTAGAAATGGTATTCAGTTCAAAGGATAGTACAATTATAAATGAAGATATTGATAGAATCATTGCTAAGGGAGAGGAGGCAACTGCAGAACTTGATGCCAAGGGGTCGGCTTAACCCAGCCCCAGCCCCTGCCACTGATGAACATGAGCCCTTAAACCTAGACTCTGACCGTGGTTCACCTGTTATGAAGAAGAAACGAGTGAGCCTCAGCCAAGGGGTCGGCTTAACTCACCAAGTACTCGACTCTAGCTTAAGGCAACATCCGATTGTGTATGAAATGTCGGTTAACAATCAAGATTAAAAATTAGGCCGAGCCAATTGAAATTGGAATTTATCCCAGGGAGATTGTTTTCTACTTTGTGCAGTTTCTTTATAGAAATATATATAATATAATTTATGTTTCATTAGGTGGGATGGGTTTGGGTGTGGTAATACTCTTTAAAACTTGTAATTCATGTTATGATACCAAGACAGATTGGAAGACAAAGCACAGAACTCCATCAAATGTGTGAAGTAAGATTCTTATCTTAATTCATGAAACAATAGTCTTTTTATTTCTTTTCTTTTCTTTCTTTTGTGTTCTCATTGGCCAAAATTTGTGAGATACTAATTCTTTTATTTATTTATTTGTAAATCCCATCTCACCTTTTAGTTTTTGTGTTTTTTTTTTGTTGTTGGCAGCTTCAAAAATAGTCTACACCAGAAGACATTGATGATTTGGATGATGTGGATGCAGTTATAAGCTACATGCCACAAAATTTTAGAGGAACATTAATCAGACAACAATAACAAAGGTATGAAAGAAATAAGCAATCAGAAGTTGATGCTTTGGTAAATTCAGGTGGTACCATACGTGACAATGGATTGTATTTTTTGTATCTAATTCGTTTGTAAATTTTTGTTACAACTTCTATTTATTTGTTTTATATTTCCATGGAACGATTATTTGTATGACATTAAATTTATGCAATGGATTCTATTTTTTGTATATGATATTTTATTTTTTATTATGAAACATTAAATACAAATTTAATTTGAAAATAAGTAAATCTATAAATAATATTTTTTTAAACCATTAAAATTATGATACGCAAAAACGTGTGTCATCTTCATTTACGATATGGCCTTTCTGATGGGTTTTGATCATAAGAACATCCTATGTGCTCATACAAACCCTAGTGCTTGGATCTAGGTTTCTCTATTGTATATGCAATTTATCCAAGACTATAAACCATAATTCTAGCATATGATAATCGATATTAACATAATAATGGGTTTAAGATATTACCTTGATTGTTATGTAGCAATAACAATCACAAGTCCTTCTTGTAATGACTTTAGAAAGCTTAGAGTCACAAATGTCACTCCTCTAATGGTTCACAAACACCAAGAGCAAGAGGATGAAGAGGGGAAGAGAAGGAGGCTACCCAAAACCGTCCAAAACCCTAGAAGAAAGCTTGTCCACGTTTTTGAGGCATAAGGGTTCTATATATAGAGAGGCTATTAGGGTTATCTAACAAGGAAACCCTAATTTGGATGTTTAAGCCCTAAGCAACCCATGGATTCCTTTCTTAAAGGCCTTGGACGATTTCTTATGGGTTCCCCCATTGAATTCGTCCAACCTTATAATAATAAGGTAATCCATAGCCCAATTGCAATTATCTTATAATTACAATTCCAGTCCCTTAAGTTTAATTAATCTCTTTTAGCCACAAAACTAATTATCAATTAATTCTTGACTAATATTAATTAAACAATATGATTTTTCCTTTAATATATTATTCCCATAATATATTAAGAAATCATATTTAATCATTTCTCTCCATAATTCATCCTATCAAGTTGCTTTGGTGAAGGCAACCCAAAAGGACCATGCACCATCGGGTCAAGTACATACCAAAATAGTTATGGACTTAGACACTAATCCAACAGTCTCCCACTTCGATAAGTCTAATAACTATTCTGCGTATGACTCCATATCCTGATCTGCAATCGTAGCTTTCCAAAGCCACTGTCAACTCTGATCCTATCAGATACGCGTTTCCTTTAGATAGGGGATCATATATTCCTCCATTCTAGATATCGTATAAGACATGATTTCAAATCATTTTTTTCTGTACTACTTCTTAACTTCCGATTTATGACGAATGACTAATTGAGCAAATCAAATTAGCCCTAGCCCGGCCGAGCATTTACGTTTGTCATCTCTAAATCATTGAGGGGCCCAAAGATATCGCTTTTATCCTACTTTGGATAAAAGGAACGGATAAACTTTGATTCAATGTTCGCTTGCACTCACTTACCGAATCACACGCAACAATATGTTTTATGACACCAAGTTACTGGTGCGTTTACATATTATCAATGTGCAACCGATTTGCAAGATAAAACTCACACATCTCGGTTTCAAGAATATAAGATGTTATCGTCTCACCAATCACTCGTGATAAAATCCATGAAGTGATCCAAGTGAGCGTGGGTTTAATCCAATGCTCAAATCATATTCATAAGCACTCATGAACGTTGCAGCAAACATTTGCTTATGTCTAATTCTCTTTAGACAATCCACACACCAATTCACGACAGTCTTCATTCATACCTACTTCCAACATATGAATGACTGTGGCCCGTTTGAATAATTTGACTATTCTTAACCAATTAAATTATTTAGGAAGTCAAAACATGCAAAGTGAAACACAAGAATAATACTAATCCCATATGGCCTCAAACTTTTGAGTATAAATAAAACACCTGTTATTTATCACCATATCGATTACTCATTATTTGTCATTTCGGGTAATCAACTTCTTACTTGAATTACAACACTTCTCCCATGCTCTCAGCATGCACACAATGTTTACCTATAGTTCTTACTTTGTGAAATAGATCAAATGAACACATTTCCAATCATACTCATTTCACAACTCCAAATCCTTTTTCATAAGTGAAAGAATATCAAATTCTTGCCACTTATAGAATATGTTAGATTCTAACATTTTATGCAATGATCCTTTTCGTAATGTCATAGCACAAAAAGTCACAAAGACTATTGCCAATGATATTACAAAGTCCTGTATCGGAGATTGTTACAATACAATTCCTTAGATATGATGTCTCTCACTCAAAGTACATTCCATTGAACATCCTTTGCATAAAAGTTTCTAATCTAGACATAGATTCTCAATATCTAACTCCCAATATGGAAACCTTTCCATACCAACTTATTCTTAATAGAATCTTATCTATTCATAATAATGTCGATATACTCCATCCAATACTATACTTCCAACTATTCACAAGCGACCAATCCTCGGCGAACTTTGGATTGTCCTTTGATAGTTGTTTAATTATCTTAGTCAAAACCGATTCTTGTCCTTTTTCCCTCTAAATGCACTAGACATTTGGAAAATTTTAAAATGGTCAAATATTATAGCATTTGCAATCGATCCTATACCCGAAGCGTATGAGACACGATTCATAATGTCTTACAAAAAGATTTGATACTTTATCAATCTTCTGCCATAATATTTTATGTGCTACGTTCTCATCATTCGAAATATGAAGAGGAATGCCGTAATCATAATCGAAATTTAAGAACGCACTATGTATCCTTTGACTAAATTTATTAAAATTTCTCAATCTAAGCTTTAGATTTTGAAATGAAGCATAATATTCTCTCCCTTAATTATAACAAAACAACTATTCAACTCTTACAACTTTGCAAAGTTTGACTCTTGTTTTCTATAATTAATATTGCTAACTTGCAATACTTGCCTTAATAATCATACAATCATAACATTTATGCTCCCACTATCATGATGATTATTATAAACATAACACTTATGCTCCCACTAGTTTTGACATGTATTTAGAAAACAGCTTAACTTATAGAAAAACAATACTTATTGAAATTCTTAAGTTCATGTTTCTAATACTTAATGCTTTGACAATTCTTTATCAAGGCCTCTTAATCTCATACACCTTTATCCAAGATAGCTCATATGTGTCTTAAACAATTAAGACTAATTGCCAAATCTCACAATTCGAATCATGGAAAGGGATACCGTAACCATAATCAAATTTGAGAATGCAATTTTACAATTGCTATCTTCTTAAAATCTCTCTTAGTGAAAGCATTTCCTCACAGTCATTTTCATGGAGGAGGGAATCTTATGATACTTAGATTTTAATGGTGTATGTGTTCCTATCCATGTGAATTTGTCAAAACCAAAGTTTACGACAAATTCAAACTCATATGGACCAAACTTTCTTAATCTTGATTTCTTGACTTATGGTAACATAACTCCCACCTTGTCTTCCAAGCAGTTAAGCAGCTCACCCTTTTCCTATCAATGTACTTTTCATTGATTAAGGTCCTTTCCTTTTATGCATAATGAGAACTCATAGGGCTCACATGCATAATTAACCTAATTGGAACGGCACAGAAATAATATAGTGTCAACACGATAGGTTGTAAACCTCAAGTCATGTGCTAGTGATGTTAGATAAGGTTTATTTTAATTTGTTCTTGAAACCTTTCAATACAATTAAGACTCCCACTGACTCCTTGACATATAAGATTCTCTTGTCAATAAACATTTCTCGACAAACAAATATTCAAGAGTTAGTGTAGCTTTTATCAAGATAAAACACTTCACAAAATTGGTCCTAGTTGGTCTTTGTCTTATCCAAGACATCACAACTTTCCACATTTGGTGAATGTTATAAACCTTCTTAAGACTTGTCACTCAATGTCACAATCTTAACTCTAAGACTTGTTTTGGAACGAAGTATGATTAACTTCTTGATTTAACCATTTCTTCAATTCTTGATTTCTCTTCTTAGACATACAATTGTACTAAGACTCACTTAGAGGATCAATTGAGATATGGTTCTTAATCATTAAGACTTATCATAAAACATAATAAAAGGTACTCTCCCTTCTTCTTAGAATAGAGAAACTTTTATCTTTCTGCCTACTTGATTCTTCTTATTCGTTCTGCTTATTGACTTAAACTTTTACAATCAATTCATAATTACACTTAATCTTATAAGTATAATCATATTTACTAAACCTTTAGTAAATCATGACAAATATCTTGGTTACTCTTATGGTGGACTTGATCAATACGCAACTTTATGTACTTGATCTCCTAGTCCTTCACTTGACACTTTGTCAACGAATTAGTCTAATTTCCAAACGTGAAAGTTTATTCATTCATTATACAATTCTTGTTGTATGATTCCAAATCTCTATCCAATAGAAACTTGGGCGATGAGAAACTTTCCCTATTTGGTAAATTTTCGACATTTCCATAATTAAGAATCAATTCCATTATTGCTAATAATAGAAACATTCAAACATCAATTTTTCATACACGCCATTGCAAGGATAAATAAATAATATAAAATAAAAATTTATTTTATTGCGGAAAAAATTTGTACTTACAATGCAATTCATTGAAAAACTATGCTAATACATATTTCTTAGCAATCTAACTCTAAGTAGTAGCTCAAGAATCTAATCTTCAAGTAATGCGATCGAAATCCATTTCTTCACGGTTAGATTTTGCTCACTTCTTCCCTTAAGCTTCCTCTCTTTTTTTCGATCCTACAAAACATCAATTGTAATCTTATCACATTATGTATTAAGAATCTAGAGTAGGAGCTTAAAAGAGTTAGTCAATGGATTTTACCTAAAGCAGAGCCATACGTTTTGACTCTCCCATCTCTTAGATCTCTTAGGTAAATAGGGCAGCTTCGTCTCCAATGCCCATTCTCTTGGCAATAAAAGCAAATTGACTCTTTTGGAACAGAACATGGAACTACTTCAGACATTGCCTTTCTCTTATGATCAAACTTTTCGATCATAGGATGTCTTTCGTTGCCATTGTCTATATCCATAGAGGTCTTGAAGGTAGATTCACCAATCAAAATTGCTTTTCTATTGCGCCAAACCATTGTTGATTCAGCAACAATAAGCATATAGGTGAGATCTATAAGGGTCACGTCGCAGTTCATCATATAGTACTCTCTTACGAACTC